AAAATTAAATTAAAAAAAAAAAAAAAAAAAAAAATAAATAAAAACAAATACTTCAAATTTAAAGCTTTGTTATAATGATTAATAGGTAAACCTATAAAGTACTTTTAAAAAAATATGAAAAAAAAAATAAAATAAAAATAATTAAAATCGAAAGCTTTGTAATAATGATTAATAGGTAAACCTATAATGTACTTTTAAAAAAATATAAAAAAAAAAACAAAAACAAATAATTAAAATTTAAAGCTTTGTTATAATGAGTAATAGGTAAACCTATAATGTACTTTTAAAAAAAGATAAAGAAAAAAATAAAATAAAAATACGTATATAAAAGGAAATATTTTTTTTCTTCTATACATAAAATATAAAAATTAATATAATATATAAAATTTATCATGAATAATAAAAAAAGAACAAAAGGTTGCATAAATATATGTATGTTTTAAAAAAACATTTTCTTCTCTTTTTAAGACTTAAAATTTCTTTTCTTATCTCTTACATTATGCAGAATAACAAATAAAGATTATTAAAATATGGTTCCTTTAAGAACAAAGTTTAAAAATACCTTTATATAATCACATATGAAAAATGTAACTTCTAATTTAATTTAGTTATTTTTGATGGAATTAAAAGATTTAAATATAAAGCTTGGGTAAGTATCAATATTATATAATCAATTCTACTGCAGATGGATTTATAATAGTGAATTTCTTTTTATATAAATAATATTTCTACATGAATAATGTTAAATATATAATCCTATAAGCCATACATTTTTGTATTTAAACTTGTAATTAAAGTTATATTATTATTTTAATTGTAATTTTATAACAAAATAAGATATTATAAAATATATTTATATTCATTTTTATATATATGATAGGGATTTTCTAACTCTTAATTAATTTTAGCTTGTGTTTAAGGAATTCCTAGATATTTATAAATGATTTGTGTATTTAGTTAGAGAAGTAAATTAATGTTGCTCAAAATTTTCTACCTCCAAAAAAATTTTTTCTTTATAATTTTCCATATTTTTTTTATTAAGAGTTGAAAACAAGTTAATATCTAAGTCATATGTTTTTAATTTTGGTTTTTCATATATAGGATTTATTTTACTTATATGATCATAATATAGCTCCATGGAAGTTACGTGAACATATTTGCATAATTCACTAATTTGCTTTTTTGATAATTCATAACCTTCTCTACTGGTTATAAATTCAACTAATCTTTTTGTATAAATGATTTTTGGAGGTGTGTTTTTGATATGATCACTACTTCGTAAAAAATCATCTTTTAATTGTTTCTTTGCTTTTTTCGCAAGGTTTAAAATTTGTTCATAGTTTTCATTAATTGATTCTGAAAAAGCAACAATGTCATGATTAAATGATGATATGCTTGTTGAAATATTTTTATTTGAGTCTTTAGCTTTTATTTTATTATTTTTGTTACTTAAAAAATCAGAATATTTTACATTCATACGTTTATATAGATTACTCAACATACATTTTAATTCGTTATCTGAAAGTACTTCCTTAAAATGATGTTGTGCGTTATTAATTACTTTTCGTAAATATGAATAATTTTTCATCATACTTTTATTTTTATCAGAAGCAGCGTAAAATTCATTATCTAAATAATTATTCACAAATGATAAAATGTTGTTATACCCTCTTGAAAATTTATTGTCATTATCAAAATTAGTTTTATCACTTTCTATTCTAGATTTATATTTCCTCTTTGTTACTTTATTGTAAATTACTCTTCCTAGTAGATATGAAGAGATAACTAACCCTACAGTTGTGCAAATAATTATAATTATCTTTTTGTTACTTTTTTTTTTTTTTAATTTTTCCTCAATTTCTTTAAATTCGCTTAATTTTTTTTTGGTTGATAAACTTTCATTCGACGAATGTAATATTATAAAACTAGCCAACAGGACAATGTTATAAAAGTTAAATATTCTTAAAATTTTCATTTTTATTATATTTATAAATATTATCCCAAAATTTTTTCTTTTTTATAGTGATGTTAACTTCAAGAATTAGTTTGAATTCAAAACAGTAGAAATTGTTTTTTGTTTCTTCAACAGATATATTTCAAAAATAAATAATTTGTACCTTATTTTTTAATTTAAAAAATTCTATACTAATTATTAAATTCAAATTAAGAAATATGAAAATTTTTTTTTTTTTTATTTCTACATTTTATATTTATATTAAAACAAAAATACAAATAAGTAATTCATTTAAAGATTTGTTGTTGTTGTTCCTTAAAAGATAACATTGAATTTAAGATTTGTGGATAAAAATAAAAACTTCTATTCTTCTATGTTAATATATATTTAATTTTGCATGTATGTTTTATTTTTTTTTATTAAAAACATATCTTTTATATTGAGAAGAAAAATACACGAAATATTTCGACAAGCAACTTTTCATACAACTAATTACATTTACATTGTAATGAATTAATATTGTTTCATAAATTTGAATTTTTCTTTTCTTATAAATCAATAAATTTCTAAAAAATTTCCTTTGATTTTATCATACTTTTCATTCATATTTTTTTTTATTAAAAAACAGTTTAAAAGTTCAATTAAAAAAAATTATATATTTATTTTTATATATTTCACTTAAATATATTTAATATAATTTCAATAAATTATTTGTATTATAGCTTAATATCCTTATCTTTTTTTATCACTATATTTTTTTTTTTTTTAATATACGAGTTATATAAAAATAAAATGAACTTCAAAAATAAAAATGAAGAAAAATAATATTCTAAATAAAAGAAAAAGATTCTCCAAATAAATATTTCACATACATAAGGAAAATAACAAAAAAAAAAACAAGAAAATTTATATATTTTCTTAACAGTATATATTAATATAATTATTCATACTAAAATTAATTTAATATTTATACAAGATATAAATATATAGGTATATATATATTTTTTTTTTTTTTTTTTTTTTTTTTTTTTCTTATTAAACATTAAAAAAAAAATAGCGTTATTACCTAAAAAATTTAAGTAATTTTCATTGATATCTTTCATAATTTATCATCAGTAGCTATATATAAAATAATATTAATTTTTTTTTTTTTTTATTTTAAAACTTTTTTTTGATATAGGTTAATAAAAAAATAAAAAAATATGATTATTTTATTTTTTTATTATTAAAATAACTAGTTTGAAAAAGAACTGCTAACATGATATAAAGACTATGTTTTCTAAATAATAAAACATCAATGAATTTTTCGAAAATTATATATTATATGATCACTTTTTATATATAATTTTAAACCCATCCATTATAAATATAATAGTAATACTAAACTATTACACAAAAGAAAATAATTTCCATTATTCATTATCAATTTTAAATAATTATACATGTTTGTGTTTATTATATACCTTATATTTCTTTAAAACTTAATATTTCAGATTTTTTTTATTCAATAAACTAGGTGTTTAAGATTCACTATGTTCACTAATTATAGTGTTCTTATAAATAGAGGCATATTTAGAATGACCATTCTATTTCTTATGTTCAAGATAAAGATATAATTTATTTTAAAGGGTTGTTGTATATTGACCTGATTTTTGAGAGGAATCTTTACCCGTAGAATCATCATCATCGTCTTTTTTACTTTGTGATTCCGTACTTTGTTTTTCAGTAGAAGTTTCACCTTTATCAGGTGTTTCCTTCTTTTCAGAATCACGCGGTTGAATGGGTTTTGTAGGTGCTGGTAATTTAATAGATGATACATACTTAATTACTCTAGGAGTAGGAGGTTTTGGAGATTTAATAGATTGCAGATATCTTGTTAAATATGGAAATTTGTCCGGTTTTGGAGGTTCTACAGCTCCTGGAAATTTAGGAGGTTCTTGAGATATAATAGGTCCTGAAATTTTAAAAGGTTCTGGAGTTCTAAGTGATTTAGGTAATGTTTTAGGGTCTGGAGATATAATAGGTCCTGAAATTTTAAAAGGTTCTGGAGTTCTAAGTGATTTAGGTAATGTTTTAGGGTCTGGAGATATAATAGGTCCTGAAATTTTAAAAGGTTCTGGAGTTCTAAGTGATTTAGGCAATTTTGTAGGGTCTGGAGATATAATAGGTCCTGAAAATTTAGAAGGTTCTGGAGATTTTATGGGTTCTGGTATTTTAACAGATTCGGGTATTTTAGGAGGTTCCGGTAATATAATAGATTCGGGTAATCCAGGAGCTTTTGATAATTTAACAGATTCGGGTAATCCAGGAGGTTCTGGTAATATAATAGATTCGGGTATTTTAGGAGGTTCTGGTAAAATTAAAGATTCGGGTATTTTAGGAGGTTCTGGTAAAATTAAAGATTCGGGTATTTTAGGAGGTTCTGGTAATTTAAGAGACTCAGGTATTTTAGGAGGTTCTGGTAGTATTAAAGATTCGGGTATTTTAGGAGGTTCTGGTAATATTAAAGATTCGGGTATTTTAGGAGGTTCTGGTAATATTATAGATTCGGGTATTTTAGGAGGTTCTGGTAATATTATAGATTCGGGTATTTTAGGAGGTTCTGGTAATATTATAGATTCGGGTATTTTAGGAGGTTCTGGTAATATTATAGATTCGGGTATTTTAGGAGGTTCTGGTAATATTATAGATTCGGGTATTTTAGGAGGTTCTGGTAATATTATAGATTCGGGTATTTTAGGAGGTTCTGGTAATATTATAGATTCGGGTATTTTAGGAGGTTCTGGTAATATTATAGATTCGGGTATTTTAGGAGGTTCTGGTAATATTATAGATTCGGGTATTTTAGGAGGTTCTGGTAATATTATAGATTCGGGTATTTTAGGAGGTTCTGGTAATATTATAGATTCGGGTATTTTAGGAGGTTCTGGTAATATTATAGATTCGGGTATTTTAGGAGGTTCTGGTAATATTATAGATTCGGGTATTTTAGGAGGTTCTGGTAATATTATAGATTCGGGTATTTTAGGAGGTTCTGGTAATATTAAAGATTCGGGTATTTTAGGAGGTTCTGGTAATATTAAAGATTCGGGTATTTTAGGAGGTTCTGGTAATATTAAAGATTCGGGTATTTTAGGAGGTTCTGGTAATATTAAAGATTCGGGTATTTTAGGAGGTTCTGGTAATATTAAAGATTCGGGTATTTTAGGAGGTTCTGGTAATATTAAAGATTCGGGTATTTTAGGAGGTTCTGGTAATATTAAAGATTCGGGTATTTTAGGAGGTTCTGGTAAT